ACAAAAAGAGTGGTGAAGTGGCACACCGGTTGCATAGTGGTTAATTTGCATACTACATGAACAGAAGCTGTTGCTTGGGTTTGATTTCCACCTGTGACTCCTTTCCCGCATGTCATTCCTCACTCTCTCTCCCTGATTTCCGACTCTATCCCCTGTCCTGTCTCTCTAATTAAGAGTAGTACAAAAGTACATCTTCATTAAAAAAGGTGTGGAGAAGAACATACTGTAACAGAAAACATTGTCAGTCTTACCGTTATAGGGCTCAACAGTGTGCTTCCGGAAGTAAACATCTCGTTCATTTTTGCAATAGAAGATTTGTTTATTAGCCATTATGTCATAACCATCCAAGGTAGGTATATGGCGATGGTATATGTTCCTGTAGGAGACACAAGGTCGCATGATATCCACTTTGTTTTAAGAAAAACAAGATTTATAAGAGATATCGGGAAAATAACTAAGCTCATGGCACCACAGCGAGACGTCTCTGATTAGTTGAGCCTTCTGTTACCATGGCAATTTATCCCGCAAATCGGAGCCATATGCGAACAGATAAGTTTTGCTAGCAGGCTAGCTAAGACGATATGTACTGATAACCCTATCATGAATGTAGTTTATATTTTCCAAAAGACAAACTACAAGACAGTACAACACTTGTATTAACAGTATAAACACTATAACAACGACAAAAGTTACTTTTAAGAAGAAACAATATCATTCACAATGGATTGTGGGATGGGTAGTTCCTTGGCTCCGATGGCTCTGTGATGAACACAGTCTTGTACCTTTGCCTTTTTTTCTGTTTTTTGATGCCGTTTTGGTGCCGAATTAAATGCAATATAGGCTTCAATCATAGGGCTTTTGTCTGATTTGATGTTTGCCTGGAACCAAGACAGCCAGCTACCCCAATACCCATGACTATAATACATTTTGGCGCAAAAATCACAAGTCCAAATATCGCTTGGCCATCTGCGCCTGAAGCCACAAACCTTGAAACAAATTACAGCTGTGATGCTGTGTGATAGTCGTAAGTCCTTCAGGTAACCAACTGTGTAGGAATATTTACTCACCAACAGACTATTTAGATTAAAGTAAAACACAAACTGTAAACATTTCTCTCAATGATTGTTTCTTTATGAATAAGTGTTTGGTGAATCTTTCCACCTTTTGGGTGGAAGTGCGTTATTTCTCTGAAGCTGCTGGAGGTGTTAAGTCTGTGTTCGAGTCAGTCAACACAACTTTGTTTCCTATGAGCAGCCCCGACTTCAAAGAAACAAGTGTCTCACTTATTTTTTCACTTGGATATTCATTTTCACCAGACAGACCATACATTTTTACATAAAGGTATGGTAGAGAGTGGATTTTTGTTGCACAGGCCTTAATCATCTTTGCAATGAGTGTTTTCAAAGATAGAGTCAGCAGCTTTTTCCCACAAAATAAGGCCGTGTTCACACTTGACTTCTTTTTTCAACTGTCAGCGCCTTTTTTACATACAAGCCTGTGGTAAAATGAAAAAGGATGACGCCTTTTCAAAAAGTGCTGCACCCGACGCCTTTTTCAGTTGAATTATTTCAACTTTTCAGAAAAGCACTGGGTGACATCAAGCGCCTTTCTGACAGCTGACCAATCAGGATGAGTAGTAACCTATGTCCCTAGTTACCGGTGCCCAAAAATGGCAAACTTCCACCAGATATGTGTGCACTGCGTGTCCGCTCCGGTCTGTTATGGGACCGTGCATCCTCGTCCGTCAACACCCACCGGCTGCGTTCTCAGGCCGCAGCACGGAGAGCACAGCCGGACATAATGATGTGAAAAGCAGTTCTTTTCAGTGTACTGAATCAGTAGAATCAGTTCAGTAAAGTGATTTGTTCAAAAGATTAGTTCACCGAATCGTTCAGTACTTCTCTGCAGCTCTGCCTGTGAATCAGAATTTAATAAGCTGAAACACGGCCAAACGTTTAGTTCTGCTCGCGATCGTACTGAGAACAGCCGGTGGTGAATAATAAGCCAATGAGCTGAGAATTTAGCTGGATAAAGCTACAGTTTGCAAACTGAAAGCTGCTAAAACAATCACATTTATTTTCCCCGACCGTTTTGTTTAGTACGTTCAGTACACAAATCACTCACTGACTGTCTGACTGAGAGGAAGAGAGTGACTCGGAGGCGGAGCTCTCGTTCAGTTCGTTCACTGAACGAGAGCTCCGCTCCTTCTCTCAGTTCGTTCAGTGATTCACGTCGGAGCTCTCGTTCAGTTCGTTCAGTGAACGAACTGAACGAGCAAGACTGCGAGTCACCAGCCTCAGTCACACACACACACACACACACACACTGTACTGACTGAAACACGATGGTTAGTAGATGTTAAAACAGTCAGCTGAGTGAAATTAAGTTGGCTATAAAAGCTGTTTGTAAACTGACAGCAGATATAAAAAGCACATACATTTTCGCGACACCTAAATGTTAAATAATATATTTTCTACTTCCTCAATTTTGGAGACATGAGAGGGAGAAGTAGGGGCGGGCTTTAGTGACACAGAGCTCCCGACCGACTCCGTCCTGTTGGTTCAGTCAGTACGTATCAATGACATGAAAGGAGAGGGAGGCTTTGAGAGACTCTTACGGTCTAGAGAGAGACACGAGACGGGAGAGAGGAGAGCGCAACTGAAGTTGAGAAATGAACGACTCTTTTCAGTTAGTGATTCAGTTCAGTTCGTTCACCCAGATGATTCGTTCGTTTTGAACGAAACGCTCAATAATGAAGGGCAAGGTCGTTCAACTACAGCGGCCGTATCCATAAAACTATAGTACAAAGAGTTTCTCCGAGTGATGAAATACAGAAATGCAGGTGATGCTGCAGCACGTCCTAAAGTCGGGCAGCTTTAAGGCCATGAGATTATAAAGATTATTATTATTATTATTATTATTATTATTATTATTATTATTATTATTCTTTCTTCCTCGGACAGATGTTAAAGTTCCTTTATTCATGAGATAACAAAACAAGTGAAACAGTGACACAAAGGACAACACGGGGTAATAATTTTACAGGCATACAAATAGTCAATTGCCAAAGCAATGGAGGACCCAAGAATGTGAGAATGAAAGCAAAAGAAAAATAACATTGCAAGTCTATAAACACAAATGCATAGCCTATAGACACATAACAAGCAAAACATGCTAACATCAGTCTCCCCACACAACCACACACACACACACACACACACACACACACACACACACACACTCCATAGGTTCTGTTTGTGTAGCAGTGAGCTGACCAAACACAGACGCCGCCCCGGCAAGTGCTGCAGAGTGAGAACTGAGTAAAAGAAATTTCGAGTCAGGAGCCAGTAAGAGGAAATAAACTAAAACATGAAGAGACTCGTGCTTTACTAGAAGGTGGGTATGTTGAATACTTTTGCAAAGCTTTGTCAGCATTAAAACATCGCCTGCACAAGTGGCTATATAGATAGATAGATAGATAGATAGATAGATGGATAGATATCTATCTCTCTTTGTTATAGAGAGACATGCTTCTCACACACAGGCCCAAATCACACACACACACACAAACATGATCTGTAGACATGCGTTAGTGGAGACATATCAGAGTAGGTCTGCTACACAGGGAGCCCACCAGAGCTGTTGGGGGTTTAGTTCCTTGCTCGAGGGCGCTGAGGCCAGACCAACTTCCATATGGTGGTATGCTCCAATTCTAAATCTCCTCTGATTCACACATTGATTAACTGACTATATTCAATAGTTTGCTGCAATTTTTTCCTATGATGATGAAGGGATGACCCTCCCTACTCTGTCTCTAATTGACTAGTACGTACTAGCTGAATGTATGAATGAGTAGTCTCACATGTCACTGTTTATTACAAAGGCCATTTTTCCTCTGCTGGACTGGTCACCTAAAAAAAAACATTTGCAGGGAAAATTAAGAGTATACCCACTTCTTCAGCCACTACTACACTACTGCATAGCAGCCCAACACAGTGTAGCCTGCTAATAATTAAGTTCAACGAAGAAGAAGAACGGGACAGAGTAAACAAAAGGGACCATTTAGGGTCGGATCGGTACCCTTGGCACCCCAACAGAAGGGTACCAAAAAAGTATGGCGGTATCCATTCCCAACTTTTGACGGTGGAAACGCCAGTAAATGGGTTCCGTACCGAACCGAACTAAACTGGACTGCTTGGTGGAAACGGGGAGTCTTTTGGATGAACTTGAGGCACGGGGCTGTGCTGTTCTTTCTTTATAAAGTCTGTGGTCTTGAAACTGAGAAATGAGAGCACACAACCAATGTTGTTTTGCAACAAGAAGATTAATGAATAGAATCAAGAAACAGTAGTTATTACAAAAAAAATAAACAACACATCAACCATTAAAGCAGGGGCGTCATGCAAGCCAAAAAAGGGGGGGAGCGGGGGGGGGGGGGAGCGGGGTAGATAATGATGCCTTTTTTTGCATTTTGAATGGGCACAAGAGGTATAATTTCTCTGTCATTCTTACAGTCTGTGAAAAAAAAAACTAAATCATGTGAGATTCTTCTGTTTTGTAGCTTTCATTCACCTTAACCTTTCCCCACCAATCTGAAGTCAAATACTTTAACTGCTGCTGTGGAGTGACCTAACGCAGCAACCTTTGGGCCAAACTAACTACAGAACACAAATGCAATCTGCAAAAAGGGCCTGCAGAGACTCTTTCTGCTCAGATCTGTTAGTGAGTCCATTTTAACCTTTTTGTTTTATCTCATAGTATGGTAACCTTTGTTAGGTGTTGTATACGGCAATAGAAGAAGAATATACTTAACTTAAAACATTTCTGATCAATACTACATTTTGTTAAAATAATCATACGAAGAAATCAAATAAAATCCTGACAGATGTAAAAAACTAAATCTGTGGATGGACATGACACCCCTTGAAGCGATACATGGTGATTAAAGTAAGAAAGAGTAAAAATGACTGGTTGATTTTCTTTGAGGAGCCACAGAGGACTCATGGAAGCGTAGCTTTACAATTCAGTCTGCTTCTCAAGCCTGCACTCTCCAGCACATAGACGACTTTACAGTCGTTCAGTTCTCCAAAATGACCCTTACCGAGAACTTTCTCAGTTACTTTGAACGTTTCATACGGTGGGATGAGCACTTCTTCTTCTCCGTCAATTGCAGAATAGTCCCCCAGATAAGCTCCAGAACAGGTCTTGATTTTAAAGCAGGTCTCACTACCAAAGTCTGTTAAGTTGTTGAGGTAAGAGCTGGAGGCAAAGGAACCAAAGCGAATGATTTGTCCGACATTGCCAGAAAACAAACTTCTTGTGCGTCTGTAAGTTGTGTGACATTTGTAATTGCTATTCAAGATCTGTATGGCAGATGTCAGAAGAAAATGTAAGGAATGGAACTGAAATGAGAAGCTGTATTTGCTCGCTTCTGTTCTGACTGCTGTGTTGAAAATATCATAAATATTATTATCAGTATAAACACAGATTGCATGCATGTGGTCTTTGGTCAGAGCCTTGTCAGCCTCCCTTGGTTTCTTCTCAGCACACTTTGCTATCTCATTCCAGGCATATTCAAATTTACTATTTCTAATTTCTTTGTTAAAGTAGTAGGTCTTGACTTTTTCCATCATTTTTTCCTGGCAGCCAAAGTACATGTCATCAACCGAATCTTCAACCATACCCAACGGGATGTCCTGGTTTTTCTCTCGGAGAGGGAAGTTGAAACGGATCTGAGGAGAGACAAAGAAAATAATGAAGGGCAAGGTCGTTCAACTACAGCGGCTCCTAGTGACGAAATACAGAAGTGCAGGGGATGCTGCAGCAGAATAACTGATGCATTTGACTGCATACACTTAGTTTAATCGAAGCAATTCACCAATAATGTGGATGATTATCTCCATACGTTTTGAGAATCCTACGATCTAAAGCACACATTTGTTCCCAACATTTGTTGTCATACTTATGGGTGGTAGACATGTTCTTGAAAACAGTTACAGTTAAAAAAAATTTGAGGATCGCTCACAGGTTTTTAAATGCTTCACTCACCGTCATGAAGTCTGCAGGCAGCATCCAGCCGCAGAGTAAGAAGAATGAAATGAAGGTCAGCATGTTTCTCTGAAGTGTTAAGACTCTACAAACACACAAAACAACAAGTCAATAAAATGACCTTCACTTTAGTTTGTAGTGTTGGTAAAATCATTGTTGAACTATTGGTTGAATTACAAAAAAGTATGGTACTCAAAAGCTTGACTTACCAGACTTTCGAAAGAGATGATGCTGCAAACTTTGTGAGCTCTTTGAAACAGACGGTTCAATGAGACAACTGGTCCTCAGCACATGACCAGGACCCCAATGGGTCTCTCTTTATATACCTTTGTGACCAGGCGGGTCACAAGTCCTCCGACGCACATGAACAGTTATATATTTCCAAATAATGAGGGTGGAGTAGAAGGTCTTAAGGTGTGAGTGTGATAGGAAATTATTGTGGTTTTGTGGTCAATGTTTTTGCTGTAAGCTGCATGACCAAAAACATGTAGACAGACAACTTTGTGATACTGTATGTTTTAACAGAATGAAATGCACACTACTGCATGTTTTCATTTTTTGAAGTATTCACCTTGTGAACTATATGTGCAAGCTGCAAAACGTATCCTATTTCCTAAAAAGATTGGAATTTTGTAAATCAAAACAGAATGAGATGTACTGCAAAACATTAGAACCCAAATAGCAGCGAGAAAACATGTCAAATGTTGAAACTGAGAAATGTCATTGTTGTTTTGAGAGAGGAATAAAAAAAGATGCCAGCAACATGTGTCAAAGAAGTAGAAGTAGAATATCAAAGAATATCAGGTAAATGTTTTATCTGGTGTTCTTTTATCTTCTATTGGCTCTCCCCAGGGATGTGTCCTTTCACCACTATTATTTGTATTATATACAAATGACTGTCAATGTCATTACGATGGCAGACACGTAGTCAAGTTTGCAGGTGACTCGGTAGTTGTCAGCAGGAGTCTGACCATGGTCCAGTAGTGGCAGACTTCCCTGAGTGGTGTAAAATGTTCCTTTTAGAAATAAACATCTCTAAAACCAAGGAGGTGATTATTGACTTTAGGAGGAAGCATCCACCTCAATTATTGGGACAGGCTGTTGATGTGGTGAATGAACTTAAATACTTGGGTACAATCATTGACGAAAACCTCACATTTGAAGCCAACACAGATGATGTTTGTGCAAAGGCATATCAGCATATTCACTTTTTATCAAAAACTGAGGAATTTTAATGTCGATCGTGTTTTTATAAGAATGTTTTATTCTTGTTTTATTGAGTCTCTTTTTACCTTCTCTTTCATCTGCAGGTCTGTCAACTTGAAAAATAGGAAGAGGTTGGAGCAAATCGTCAGAATGTGCAGTAAAATAGCTGGCTCTAGTTTTGATGATCTCGCCCTCTTATACAGAGTCAGAGCAACAAGCTGCTGCCATCTTGCCCAGATGCAGGACCAACAGATTTAAATACTAATTTGTCCCTGGTACCATTTTTCTCCTCAACAATACAATGTAAATCCCCTCCCCATTCTTTGGTGTATGTAATTTATTGTTGTGTGTATTTCAGATTCACTGCCGGATGTAAAGCAAATTGCCCCTCGGGGGTAACTAAGGTATACATTGACCTTGAAAGAAGTCACCTGATGGAACAGCTGACAATTAATTTGATTATCAGGAGAGTAACATGATGAGGTAACATGTTGGGCGGCAGTAGCTCAGACTGTTGGGAACCGGAGGGTTGCCGGTTCAAGTCCCAGTGCAGACCAAACCTGGAAATTGGTTTGGTAGCTGGAGTGGTGCCAGTTCACTTCCTGAGCACAGCCCAGTGAGCAAGGCACTGTAACCCACACACACACACACACACACACACACACACACACACACCAGGCCCCAACCGCTGACATCTCTCCATTAGTGCATGTCCATACGATCCTGTTTGTGCATGTGTGTGTATTTCAGCCTCTGTGTGTGTAAGCATGTTCAACCACAGAGTGTTCATTTCCCCTCGCAGGATTAATAGGCTATATCTTCTTTAAAACAGCTTGGCTCCATTGTAAAATAGTCCGGGTGATAAACTGGCCTTCCTGCAGACCTGAATCATCACACATTGAAATTGGTCTCCACATTTCCCAAAATGCATTAGTGTTTTTTAAAAGAACAAATATTGCAACAAAGTGTGCCGACTTTTTTAAAATGTGTTACTGGCATTGGGTTCAAAATGGGCATTTGGGATTTTTCTCATCAACCAAAAAATATCTGATTCAACATTTGATATGTTTCCTTATTTTTAATTCATGGAGTTTCAGTGTTTTGCAAATCAAAACTTTTTGATTTTACATTTACATCAAGAGTTTTGGTAAACACAGCTGTCACTTTATTTTATTATCATCACATGTGCACCATGATACCCCAGACTAAATTAATTATGCTGAATTTGTTTCATTTATCAAACTGGACATGAACACATTTCAAGGTGTGTGTGTGTGTGTGTGGGTGTGTGTGTGTGTGTGTTTGTGTGTGTGTGTGGGGGGGGGGTTATTGATAGGAAACGTGCAGCAGAGGAAAATATCTGAAACCAGTGGCACCCACAGAGTGCTTCACACATTCACAGCCTCTCCCTCTCTTTCACACTCTTAACAACACGTGTGACATCATTAATCGTCAAACTCCTTTGTTGTCACACAAGGTGAGAGTTTTGTGGAACATGTTGATCTTCTTCTTTGTCCCATCAGCCAAATTTAGTGACTTTAAATTCTTGATATCTTTTTCATGTTTTAGGACTGTTAGTTTCACATCTCCAGTAACATTATTTGTCAGACCCCGAAACAACATTAAAACATCGGGTTTACGTTCAGATTAAAACACTCCGTTTTGAAGGTTAAGAACAATGACCTTATGTGTTTTTGTGTAAAATTACCGCGGGAGTTTCTTTGTCTCTACACTCCAGCTGTCCGGCTGTGCTGCGCTCTGAGAACGCAGCTTGTGGGTGTTGACGGACGAGGGTACGCGGAGCTGTAACGGAGCGAACATGCATTGCACATGTATCTGGTGGAAGTTCTTGGTAATGTTAGTTCAACAGAATCAAAATATCAACAAAAAGAGTGGTGAAGTGGCACACCGGTTGCATAGTGGTTAATTTGCATACTACATGAACAGAAGCTGTTGCTTGGGTTTGATTTCCACCTGTGACTCCTTTCCCGCATGTCATTCCTCACTCTCTCTCCCTGATTTCCGACTCTATCCCTGTCCTGTCTCTCTAATTAAGAGTAGTACAAAAGTACATCTTCATTAAAAAAGGTGTGGAGAAGAACATACTGTAACAGAAAACATTGTCAGTCTTACCGTTATAGGGCTCAACAGTGTGCTTCCGGAAGTAAACATCTCGTTCATTTTTGCAATAGAAGATTTGTTTATTAGCCATTATGTCATAACCATCCAAGGTAGGTATATGGCGATGGTATATGTTCCTGTAGGAGACACAAGGTCGCATGATATCCACTTTGTTTTAAGAAAAACAAGATTTATAAGAGATATCGGGAAAATAACTAAGCTCATGGCACCACAGCGAGACGTCTCTGATTAGTTGAGCCTTCTGTTACCATGGCAATTTATCCCGCAAATCGGAGCCATATGCGAACAGATAAGTTTTGCTAGCAGGCTAGCTAAGACGATATGTACTGATAACCCTATCATGAATGTAGTTTATATTTTCCAAAAGACAAACTACAAGACAGTACAACACTTGTATTAACAGTATAAACACTATAACAACGACAAAAGTTACTTTTAAGAAGAAACAATATCATTCACAATGGATTGTGGGATGGGTAGTTCCTTGGCTCCGATGGCTCTGTGATGAACACAGTCTTGTACCTTTGCCTTTTTTTCTGTTTTTTGATGCCGTTTTGGTGCCGAATTAAATGCAATATAGGCTTCAATCATAGGGCTTTTGTCTGATTTGATGTTTGCCTGGAACCAAGACAGCCAGCTACCCCAATACCCGTGACTATAATACATTTCGGCGCAAAAATCACAAGTCCAAATATCGCTTGGCCATCTGCGCCTGAAGCCACAAACCTTGAAACAAATTACAGCTGTGATGCTGTGTGATAGTCGTAAGTCCTTCAGGTAACCAACTGTGTAGGAATATTTACTCACCAACAGACTATTTAGATTAAAGTAAAACACAAACTGTAAACATTTCTCTCAATGATTGTTTCTTTATGAATAAGTGTTTGGTGAATCTTTCCACCTTTTGGGTGGAAGTGCGTTATTTCTCTGAAGCTGCTGGAGGTGTTAAGTCTGTGGTCGAGTCAGTCAACACAACTTTGTTTCCTATGAGCAGCCCCGACCGTGCATCCTCGTCCGTCAACACCCACCGGCTGCGTTCTCAGTCCGCAGCACGGAGAGCACAGCCGGACATAGTGATGTGAAAAGCAGTTCTTTTCAGTGTACTGAATCAGTAGAATCAGTTCAGTAAAGTGATTCGGTCAAAAGATTAGTTCACCGAATCGTTCAGTACTTCTCAGCAGCTCTGCCTGTGAATCAGAATTTAATAAGCTGAAACACAGCCAAACGTTTAGTTCTGCTCGCGATCGTACTGAGAACAGCCGGTGGTGAATAATAAGCCAATGAGCTGAGAATTTAGTTGGATAAAGCTACAGTTTGCAAACTGAAAGCTGCTAAAACAATCACATTTATTTTCCCCGACCGTTCTGTTCAGTACGTTCAGTACACAAATCACTCACTGACTGTCTGACTGAGAGGAAGAGAGAGACTTGGAGGCGGAGCTCTCGTTCAGTTCGTTCAGTACACAAATCACTCACTGACTGACTGAGAGGAGAGAGTGACTCGGAGGCGGAGCTCTCGTTCAGTTCGTTCACTGAACGAGAGCTCCGCTCCTTCTCTCAGTTCGTTCAGTGATTCACGTTGGAGCTGTCGTTCAGTTCGTTCACTGAACGAACTGAACGAGCAAGACTGCGAGTCACCAGGGCAGGCTTTAGTGACACAGCGCTCCCGACCGACTCCGTCCTGTTGGTTCAGTCAGTATGTATCAATGACATGAAAGGAGAGGGAGGGCGGGCTTTGAGCGACTCTTACGGTCTAGAGAGAGATACGAGACGGGAGAGAGGAGAGCGCAACTGAAGTTGAGAAATGAACGACTCTTTTCAGTCAGTGATTCAGTTCAGTTCGTTCACCCAGATGATTCGTTCGTTTTGAACGAATCGCTCATGACCGACACATCACTAGCCGGACAGCTGGAGTATGAAGACAAAACAATTTCCGAGGTACTTTAACAGAT